TCTCTGTCTCTCATGAATAAATAAAAAATAAAAAAAATCTTTAAAAAAAAAAAGCATTCTGTTTCTCTTACAGGCATCGGGTTTGAAAGGCAAGGAATCCAAAACTTCTGAAAGAACAGCTGCAGTTGCTGGTCATTCGGTTGGCCTTTTTAATGATCAATTACTGACCACAGTAGTGAAGACTCACTTCCAGGATATTAAGAATGAAAGCAGAGTTGTTGAAAATGTGATATATCCAACAAGAACCAGGGGAGTTGAAAATGTGACCTTCAGAGGAAAAAAAGGTATCTCCAAATCAAATTTTGTAATCTTAGAAATACTTCTGCAATGAAATTAAAAACTGAATTTCATTAAAATGATTCATGGGATTGGTAAAGTTTAAAGTAGCTTTTTGAAAATATTATTCTATTCTGAATATAAAAGTGGTACAATATTGCACTAACAAGAATATATGTGAAAATGGTTCATGATAAAGTTGGTAGTAACTGCCAAATTCTTGAAGACTTCTTTCCTTTCATATTTGGAATCCGTCTAGATCTTGGGGAAAAAATGTGATACGTTTTATTGTAGAAAACTTGTGGGGTGCCTGGGTGGCTCAGTCGTTAAGCGTCTGCCTTCGGCTCAGGTCATGATCCCAGAGTCCTGGGATCGAGTCCCGTGTCTGGCTCCCTGCTCTCAGGCAGACTGCTTCTCCCTCTCCCGCTCCCCCCCTGCTTGTGTTCCCTCTGGGATCATGACCTGAGTCGAAGGCAGATGCTTAATGATTGAGCCACTCAGACGCCCCAATAAATAAAATCTTAAAAAAAGAGAAAACTTGTAAAATACAGAAAAAAATCCCCACAAAAATAATCTATAATATCACAAACAAGATGACTGCTTTGGGAATTTTCAAGTGGCTTCAGCAATATAATCATACCATTTGCTGCCCTCCGTTCAAAGCAACAAAAGGATATTTTAATATAGCATTGGCTTTATCACTGGTAAAGTTGGACTGGAGAAATATGGCTTGGATCTGAGATCAAATTGAGCCATTCTGTTCCTCACCTCCACCCCTGACATAGGCTAGGACGTTGGGTCTGCAGAACAAATTCATCCCTTCAGGCTCATGGAGAGGGGCAGCCTTCTCTACAGTTCAGTGACTGGCAAAATAAATTGCCAGAGAAAGATGAGTTTCCATGCCAGCATCTTGGAGCAGAAGAAAAGATCTTGTTTTGCTTGAGGGAAGATAGGATTTAGAGAGAGACCTAAGAGACTATGGATTATCAGAGTGCCTTTATCTGTCACCATTAATTCAGTCAAATCCTTCCCAATGGGGATGTTCAGGTAGGGATGGCAGGAATGGCTCCTTATTATTTCTCTCAGGGGATTGAGGTGTTTTTGGAAGTTAATTTTTCAAACATTGAATTGGCAACTCAGAGAGAGAAAGAGAAGGCTCATTCATTCATTTGTTCACAAATATTTATGAGTGCTTATTATTTGCCAGGCCCCATTCTAGGCCTTCTGGATACAGCAGTGAGTGAAATAGGCAAAATGTTTTCTTTCCTGAAGCATACATCTGTGCAGGTGGACAGATAATAAAAAAGCAAATAAATGAATATATATTGCATTGGGAGTTTTATTGATTTGTATATTCATAAATTATTTATATATTTATATTTATTTATGTTTATATATTTATTTGTGTATATTAACATATAATGTGAGTGCGATGAAAAAGCATAAAACAGAATAAAGGGATAGAATGTGATGGAGAGGGCTACTTTATTAGATAGAGTGGGTAGGGAAATATTCTCTTTAGGTGACATTTGAGCAGAGACCTGACTGAGGTAAGGGAAAGTGCAGATAAGGGGGAAGAACATTCTAGGGCAAGGGAAGGACTGGGAAAACTTCTCTGAGAGGGTAGCATGCTGGGCATTTTAAAGATAGCAAGGTGGCCCTAATGGCTGGAGCAGAGCGAGCAAGGGGGAGAGTAAAAGGAGATGTGGTCAGATGGGTAGCTGGGGGAGAGTTTATATTAAGCAGCCTATAGGTCAAGGCAAGGTGTCTGGATTTTATTCTGGGTGAGAAGGAGGGTTTTGAGCAGGTGACTACCAGAGTGTGACTGCCTTCTCTTAGGTGATCACTCTGGCAGCGGTTTGGAGAGCGGGAGTTCGTAGTCATTGCTGGTTTTGGCTAGGGTGTTAACAGGGCTGGTGATTGAGAACTGGTGGCCATTCAGGATTTGCTGATGGATTCGGTGTCATTTTCTAAGATGTGGAACACTGGAGGAAGAGTACTTTTGGGAGGGGGGATTGTTATCAAGAGTTAAATTTTGGTCATTGAGATGTTTACTTGGAAAATGAAGTGGAGATTTCCAAAAACAAAGGAAAGTCAAGGCCAAAGATAGAATTTGCAAGTGATGCATCTAGAGATAGTATCTAAAGCTGTGGGATTGTTGAGATCAACCCTTGGCTGGGTGTATGTTTGCTAAGAGGCACAAGGCCTGAGGCCTGTGTCATGCCAACATCTAGAGAATGGGAAGAGAAAGAGAATTAGCAAAGGGCACAGTGAATTTTGAGGAAAACCAGGATAGTGTGGTATCCTGGACTCAAGAAGGTGGTCTCCTCATGGCCATAATTAACAAAGGGAGAATTTTCTCTTAGGTTTTTATTATATATATACACATTATATATACATACTATATATATATATATATATACACACACACACACACATATACACACTTGTGTGTTTTAAAAAATATGATTAGGATCATATGTACACATAAGATGAATTTGAAAATAGAAGGAAAAACTAGATGTTGCATTTAGAGGAAAATGTAGAAAAAATCAGATGTGCAAAAGAACAGAGTTGAAGATTTCTGTTATTAATAATTAAAGTAATTATTAGTGTGTCATCCCACTTCTGATGGCAGTGTTTCCACTTAGGTACAGAGAATGTCAACAGAAAACAGGAACACTGTCAGGCAGAAAAGTTTGGACCCTCTCAGTTCACAGACTCTCATTTCAGTGAAAAGGTAAGATGTGATACTGACTGTCCTGGATCCTGTTTCCTTCCTTCCTTCCTTCCTTCCTTCCTTCCTTCCTTCCTTCCTTCCTTCCTTCCTTCCTTCCTTCCTTCCTTCCTGATTTTATGTATTTATTTGAAAGAGAGAGAGTGAGAGAGAGAGCACGAGCAGGGGAGGGGGCAGAGAGACAAGCAGATTCCCCACTGAGCAGGGAGCCCAAAGTGGGAGCCCGACAAAGGGCTCCATCCCAGGACCCTGGGATCATGACCTGAGCTGAAGGCAGCCGCTTAACCGACGGAGCCACCAGGCACCCCCTGGATCCTGTTTCTTCTGTGTGTTCCCTACATAGGAGACACAAAGCACTCTCATCTCATGGTTCCTACCAAAGAAAATGCAAACTTGCTAACCTGAGTCAGTGTTAAATGCCACATGTGTGTCTTGAAATTTTTTGCTTATTGCCTGGTCTATTTTATGTTTCTGTGTTGACGCTTTCAAAGTGACAAGGAGCTTTTATGCTCATATGGAGGATGTCAGGTATCTACCTAAAGACTTTTTGGGGACAAAAACCCAATTAAGATGAACATTAAAAAGGAGCTTTCAAAGAGGCAGGAGAAGTAGAAATAAGAGGAAAGAGTTAAAATTCATTGGTTTAAGACTATTCACTAAGGAACGCAGGGTCCTGGGCAGACTCTGATGAACTTCACTAGAAGGGCTCTCTAGGGGGACCCCTGCCACAGAGAAGAACCAGACCGGAGTGTTATCTGTACGTCTTAACAAGTATGGGTTTTGTTTTGTTTTTTTTTTAAAGATTTTATTTATTTATTTGACAGAGAGAGAGAGCACAGGTAGGCAGAGCGGCAGGCAGAGGGAGAGGGAGAGGGAGAAGCAGACTCCCCGCTGAGCAGGGAGCCCGATGTGGGGCTCGATCCCAGGACCCTGGGATCATGACCTGAGCTGAAGGCAGACGCTTAACGACTGAGCCACCCAGGTGCCCCAGTATGGGTTTTGTTTAAGGCTTTGTTTCAAATAACATTCTGTGTCTAAAAAATATTTGACTATCTCTGTTCTGGGATATGCAATGAGGGACTGTGAACCCAAATTGAACACTGTGGTCTTTATGGGGTTGTGGGACCCTCTGATGTGCTGCCATGGTGCAAGAAACCAGTCTGTGCTGGGCAGTTGGGGCTTGGTTTGGGGTAACTGCTGTGGAGACAGAGAACGTGGCAGGAAAAGCATGTGTTTATGTAGTCTGCTCCACTAGCCAGTGCTGTTTTAATTTCTCTCTGTTTAATTTTAGGTCTTCAGCTCTGTAAAAGCTATCCTTGATCTTTCTGTTTTTTGGAGTCAAGTCCCTCTAGAAAGTCTGGTAATGGACCTGAAAAGGAAAATCCCAACTTTATGCTTCAGTCCTTTGGAACCCAATGGAAGAATCTCCATCCAAGGATCGTTTCTGGCTATGCAGAAGCTCAAAGAATCTTTGCTATTAAAAGCAAGTTCTCTTTTAGAGAAAAACAGGAATTTTATCAGTAACGAGAAAAGATGGAATAAGCAGAACTCCAGAAGGCAGCTCCAGAGAAGTAACTCCTTAGAGTCACTCGGGTCCTCAGTACCTGAGGCCACCAGGAGAGGAGAAACACTTGTTCTTGACACAGATATTTTCCTTTACCTCAAAAAGAGCGGATTTTATGAAAGCACATTGAAAAACTGTCATGTTTCCTGTGAGGAAAGAGTGGATGGTGCAATTACCACAATTTGTATAAAAAATGCTCAAGAATGTTCTCAGCCAAACAATGCAAAGGTTGTAAAAGCACTTTTTGAGGAATATTCACTTGCTCTTCACTTCGAGCTTAGAAAGGAGACACTTACTTTGAAAGGAAAGGAGAGCCGAAATAAAAGAAATATTAAGTTGGCATGTGAACAACTAAGTTCAAGGTTCCCTCAGGTTCTGATTAATTTTTATGAGACACACATTGACATTATAGGATCTTCTTCTGACACAAACTTGTTTAAAAAAGAGGTCATGAAATTAATAAGGTTAGACAGGCGATGAGATCTTAGCTGTAATGACAATGGAAGTTGCTTTTCCTGAGTAGTGACGATGCTGCGTCTGATGCTGGCTTTACACACATGATCTCATTTAATCCTCGCAACCATCCTTCAGTGTAGGCATTGCTATCCTCATGTTGTAGGGGAAGAACCTAGGACTTGGAGAGGTTAAAACTTTTGTCTGGAGTTATCCAGTGGGCAAGGAATGGGACTGGGGTTAAACTCGGCCTATCTGACTACAAAATGCTGGCAAAACTCTCTTGAGAAGCTACTTTGATTGAAAGTACTTCTGAAGCAGGTAATCATTACTTGATATCTGATTGGTACGAGGCCGCTGGACCATATGGGACATTTTTATTGTTGCTTATTTAGCCTAAGTACATACATAAAATGTTGGTTCTGTTAGAATTATGAAGAATTACAAAGTATAGTGTCTTTTTTCTTTATTCCCCCTTATTTTATAATTGTATGGTTAAAGTAATAGCATTTGAGGAATAAAATCATGGGTGTTTACTTAAAGATGACGGAAGGACTTGAACATTCATTGCTGGGGCGCCTGGGTGGCTCAGTTGTTAAGTGTTTGCCTTCGGCTCAGGTCATGATCCCAGGGTCCTGGGATCAAGTCCCGCATCGGGCTCCCTGCTCTGCGGGAAGCCTGCTTTTCCCTCTCCCATTCCCCCTGCTTGTGTTCCCTCTCTCGCTGTGTCTCTCTCTGTCAAATAAATAAATAAAATCTTTAAAAAAAAAATTCATTGCTGAAGAAGGGAAAACAAGAGCTTGTAAGTTATTTGGTTGTCTATGACTACCCTGAATTTAACTTTGGGGTAGTTTTAAGTGCCTGGGGCATATTATCTTAGGATAATAAAATGTATACATCTTGCTCATCTCAAAGTAAATAAATGTGATCATGATAATGTGAACTGTTTATATTAAAAGGAAACACAAGACAACTCTCTCTCTATGCTTTCATTTTTCTTAGCCATCTAAATCCCAAATATTTCCATCTTTTAAAATACGATATTTCGTTGTTTGAATAAACTTTTTTTCTGTCACGGCAAGCTGCTGTTTATATCAAGTACCCAATAAGATGTCTTTAAATTAAAAAGATGCTTCATTTTTATTTTGCTCCTAGGAGTTTGTTGCAGTCTGGGTCCAATCAGGAGAGAGAAGGCACATGGCAATTTGAATAGGGAGAGTTTAAGATAAAGAATTGTTAATTATAATAGGGGATTAGAATAATGAGGGATTGGCTAGCAAGAAATAAAGAGAACTCTAAAAAATATAGGAATAGCAGATCTAAGAAGCATTTTAGATAGAGCACCCATGGAAGAGTCCTCCACCCCCCATCCCAGGACTGAGAACTTGCTGGAAGGTTTGTGCCAAGGGGATCTTGCTGGAAATCCATCCTCTGGGTTGCTGGAGGAAACTGTTTAGAGGAAGTGTCTTACCAGAGACATTCCATTACACAATGTACTCGGGAGTTGCTGGGGGAAGCTGGCCATTATGCTCTTAAGGGCCCTGAGTGCTGGGGAGGCCTTGTGTGCTGGGGCCTGAGCTCATGCTGCATGAGCTTAATGTTGGAGAAGCTGCCCATGCTGCAGAAGCTGGGTACCGGGAAAAGGTTCCTCTGCGGAAAAACTGGATCCCTAATGGCCTGCCAATTAACAATTTGAAGTGGGAAAAGGCTTTCCTCTTGCAGTGTCTCTCCAGCGCCCTCTACTGAGAAAACTTAACATCCTATCAGCTACAGAGGAAAAATATTGAAGGGTCCCAGATTCATTTTCACAGAGTAGGCACATAGGATGAATTTAAAGCAGAGTCAATAAATTGATGACTGACAGAGTTTAATTTGATACCTACTAAGGCTTTCATTATTATCACAAATTTAATGCCAACAGAATAGTCTTTAAACAAAGAGCTGGATCAGAAAAATGATGCTCATTCCATGATCAGATAGACACTGATTTACAAGTATGGATATAGTATCTTCTGCTTGACATTATGTATTTCAGATGTTTTTACATGTTGCTGTGCATTTTAGAGTTTGTTTAACAGCACTTTCCTTATAATATGCTAGTTGTATAATCAATTTCTATCTTTAATAAAAACTGATATTTTTTCCAAAGTGGCAGTAGTGACTTTCATTAAGATTTATTTTTGAGGGTTACTGATGCCCAGGCAGATGATGTGAATTCCAGGCCTAAACCCTGTTGTATGTGCGCAACGGGGAGAAAAACCTATCATTTAATTAGATAATAAGTTGATACTTTTCAAAGAGGCTGCAGGTAGTGAAGAGGGCCATTATCCAGTTAAAAAAAAAAGAGTGTAAGAGATTCAGATCAAGACAGACAAAGGAGTAGAGTGGGAGAAAGGGTTCCAAGGCATTTAGTTAAGAAATGCTTTCAGAAATACTTGTTGAACTCATCCTCTGGGACAACCATTCTGCAGGGTTCTGGAGATAATGATGGGACGTAAGAGAAATGTTCACTGATTTCCTAGAAGTCACTGCTTAGTCTGGCAGAGAAGGCAAACAAGCTATTACCTTAGTGCTTGCTACAGAAGTAGTTGGTGTAAGGTGGAAGGGATTGTCAATTGTTACCTAGGATATGTTAACCATTTTCAAATTATTTGCATAATTTTCATAGAAAAAGATAATGAGCATGTGTCAAAGTTTTATTTGCCTTATTGAGGAGTAAACTAACAGAATGACAATACTGGTTGAAAAAGAACATGAGAAATAGAATTTAAAAATCAGTAGGGATGGGGCACCTGGGTGGCTCAGTCATTATGCGTCTGCCTTCGGCTCAGGTCATGATCCTGGGGTCCTGGGATGGAGCCCCGCATCAGACTCCCTGCTCTGCAGGGGAGCCTGCTTCTCCCTCTCCCACTCCCCTTGCTTGTGTTCCCTCTCTCGCTATGTCTCTTTCTGTCAAATAAATAAATAAAATCTTTAAAAAAAATCAGTAGGGAAAAGCATGTTCATAAAGGTTGCTAAACTAGAAACAAAGCTGATCAGTGTCCAATGAGGCTACAAAACTGTGTTTTGGGGGGTTGTTTTCTCTGTTAGAAAAAATAATCACACTTTATCATGTTTTTTAGAAGTTAAAGTTCTAACTGTACTGAGTTGTAAAAGGTCAGTGCCCCAATCAATTGTGATATTAAGTGAAACGTAGTTACATTCCCCAAAAGAGATGCCCCACTAGTGGGCTTTTTGGAGCATGTCTAGCAAGGCATTACAAGGTCACATAATTATTTTTTGCCTTATTTCTGTGTTTTGAGTAATTTTCTTTAACAAGGGTCAGAAGGAGCTTCCCAGAGGTTATGAGTTGATGGATGGGTGTTAGCTCAGTAAAGAGATGAGGAGGGAGGGCAAAACAGCACTTGGTTTGGTAGATGAAAGCCAACTTTAGGGATGGCTGAATTTTGACAGCTTAGTTTTTACAAATTTTATTTGATGGACAAGATTATTTGATTCCTCAATAAGAGAGACACACATACAAAAGTATAGAGGGAAGGAAATCTCTAATTTCCTTTGTGAATCTCTCCATATAAATCATGTTGGTGGCTATGTATGGATTTTCCCAAAGACAGTAATTTAAGAAACTTACCTATCAGTGCTTAGATTTAATTCCTCTAGGATCATTTCCTGGTGTAAATACTGGTCTAGGAAAATAAAAACTCTTTCAACTCCAGTGGACTCTCTTCCATATTCTCTACCCATCCCTTCTTTTTCATCTTTCACTTCTTCCAAATTGAGTGATTCTGGGAAATTTCCTAACCCTTCTAACTTCAGTGTGCTTATGTGTAACCTGAAAATTGTACCTACTTTCACAGGGTTATTGTGAGTTTTAGAAATCATGGTAGGTAAATGTTCAAAAACAGTAGTCATTATTCTTAAGAGCTTAGTAATACCAACACCCCAAGAAAAGCTCCCTCTGCTTGGAATGCCTCATCTCAGGGCGAGCACAAACATGTTACTCCAGGTAGAAAACCAAGCATTGTTTTGGACTTTTTCCTTTTCTTTTTATTTCCTTAGATCAGGCCTGTGTCATTTCTTGCCTGGGTTAATGAGTTGAATAGTATCCCCTCAAAATTCAGAATGTAACCTTATTTGGAAATAGGGTCTTTGCAGATGTGATTCGTTAAGATGATATCGTGCTGGATTGGAGTGAGGCTTTAACCCAGGGACTGGTGTCCTTATAAGAAAGGGAGAGGACACTGAGACTCAGAGGAGAATGGGGTAAATTTCACGTGACAATGGAGGCAGAGGGGGGCCTGATCAGCTATAAGGCAAGGAATGCTAGGGATGAATGGGAACCAACAGGAACTGAAAAAGGCAAGGAAGAATTCTTCCCTAGAGTCTTCAGATAGAGCTTGATCTTGCCAACCCTTTGATTTTAGACTTCTGGCCTCCAGAACTGTGAAAGAATAAATTTCTGTTGTTTTAAGCCACCAACTTTGTGGTAATTTGTTATGGCAGCTCTAGGAAACCATACACATGGATTTCTTTCAAAAAAGTTCCTGGGAACCTCTGATCTTTACAGTTGGTTTTGTGTGTGGGCCCCTGTCGTATACTCTATACGCCCCTCTCTCTTGTGACAGCATTTCACAGTACATTTTGTTTGTTGGTTTCTCGTCTTCCTTTCCGACTCTGTGGTCTCCTTGAGGCCAGGAATTTTGTCTATTTCTACTTTATTTATTCTCTGTTTATAACACTATGTGTCCGGCACATCATAGACATTCCACAAATACCTATGAAATATATGAACAGTTTTTGTGCTCCCACAGAATTTATACAGGATTTTGTAGTGAAATAAGCATCTCATAAATGTGTTTTCATTGGTCCAGGAATTTTCTTTTTATAGTCTTCCCACTTGCCGACATCAGAATACTTATATTAATCTTTTACCCCTTTAGAATGTGTCTTCAGTTCCTACTTGTATTATTTCCTTCAATGTAGGGAATTCTGGCAAGAGAAACTCAAGCAACAAGGTATCCCTCTCTTTTATATTCTTCTCATGCAGGTTGGTTAGTAATTGCTCCTAGCAGGAAGGCACTAAGCATATTCCCTGAAAGTGCCTGGGATAGTTCTTTCCATTTGCCTAGTTCCTGACTGGGTTTCACCAGTGAGACAAAAAGTCCCTTGTGATTTAATTAGATAGTTATGAAGATTTGCTGGGTCTGTTTACTCTTGTGTCTGGTTATTGTCAGCACTAGGAGGTCAATGGGGGGGGGAATTCTCAATGTTTATAAGCAGTTTACTCATTAATGCTTGAGATACTAAGACATTTAACCAGTAGAAAATACTACATAGCATATGTACATGTGTCAAGACTCCTGCAGTTAACATATTTCTAGCAATACTGAAAAAAACAATAGAAGTAGAATATGCCCCCTTTTGATTTTCTATGAAATTTAGTATTGGAGGAAATTAGTCTAAACAAATATTTTATGGATTCAGATATTACAAAAGTTAACTTAAAGAACCCAATCTTTTAGGGGGTGGTGGGAAGAGATATATAGAATATTAAAAAGGCTTTTTTGTTGTTATGGGAGAAATCTGTTTAAAT